TTGAGGCTGGTTCCGCCCCTGCTCGGCATCACCCAGCCCCTTTCAGAGGCTCTGCGGCCGGAAGTACCTTGGAAGTTGTTTTTCTCTCTCAGGACCTGAGCAGTCCTTCCCACCTGGTGTGAGCGCGTTGGTAATTGTTTCCCAGACACTGTGGACTCAGTCCTTCAAGTGCAGAAAAGGGAACTGAGGCTCGGAGACAGCAAGGGGCTGGTCACGTTCACGGAGGACCTGTCTCCTGAGTCTCTGTGGCCCTCCAGGCGGCTGACCAGGACTCCGAGCCCGTTTGGGGCCCCACTGTCTGTGGTGCAACCTAAATTAATATTTATTTATGAGCCCCATCATTGCCTATTGTGTAGCATAATCATGCTGCATGTGTGCACGTCTGGCCCGGCCATCATAGCTCAGTGGTTCAGCGTCCACCTATGAACCAGGACATCACAGTTCCATTCCGAGTCAGGGCACAGGCCTGGCTTGTGGGCTCGATCCCCAGTGTGGGGCGTGCAGGAGGCAGCCGGTCAATGATTCTCTCACCATTGATGTTTCTCTCTCTCTCTCCCTTCCTCTCTGAAATCGATAAAAAAAATACATATTTTTAAAAGTATTACTTTGTAAAGAGCAAATATTAAATAAACCATAATTCTCACTGGCTCACTGAATTGAGTGTTTTACATGCTCGTCTCCTCAAAACTAGAGGACGCCTGGTCTCTCTACCTCTGGCAACCCTGGCCCCATCACAGCCAGCACAGGAACCCATGCCTGCCCAAAGGGTAGAGGGAGGAGCTGATGGCCCAGGGACACTGGGGTAGGCAGGAAGAGCCTCAGAGAGGAAGGGGTGACCCCCCCACACACTTTGGGGAGGGGCCCCCAGTGAGTTGCTGAAGCTGTGGCTGAGGAGGAAGTGAGAGGAGGAGGTGAGGTGCAGCAGGAAGGTAAGCTGGGCTGGGCCTGGGGCTGGGTCTCTGTGCAGAGGCCTGGCTTTGCTGCCACTTCAGGGCCCACCCCTCCAGAAGAGGGGCTAGAGGGGCTTGGTGAGAGACCCTGAAACCTCCTCCCTACACTCGCAGCCAGGTTCTGCGGCTGAGGACTGGCTGCCTGGGAGCCCAGGCCCAGACTGGCCAGGAGCTGCCTCTCACGCTCGCTTTCCCCGCATCTTGCAGCTGTTACATTGCGGGTCTGCGACAGCATGGCCCAGTCCCTGGGTGAGGACCTGGTGCAGGATGATTCCAGCTCTTTGGGTTCTGACTCAGAGCTGAGTGGCCCAGGCCCATATCGCCAGGCTGACCGCTATGGCTTCATTGGGGGCAGCTCAGCAGAGCCAGGGTAAGTGGGGAAGGAAGTGGGGGGTGGGG